ATATAATATTTCTATTTATTAGATATTTTAACAATATAAAAATAAAGTTTTTTTTCTTTTACTCATTCTTAATATTAAGTCTATCGTGATATAATGTATAATGTAAAATATACTGTATGACTATAAGCTTTTGAGAATATCAGTTAAAATTTTGAAATATTTATAAAATCTAAAAAGTTACTTAAGTTACGCCTGAGGAGATATAAAATTTTTATTTTTAGTAATTTAATTAAGAAAGTGTTAATTTATGTTTATCAATTTGAAATGAAAATTGGTGTTGTTAAGATACGCATAATATGGGTACTATAACAATATATTGTAGGGTTGGCATGTTCATTATATTTACTGGTTACTTATTAAATACTTTGACAGAGGTGGATCGAGAATTTTTTGATAGGAGAGCGCAAAAAGTTATTAGACGTTGAATTCAATTTTGGGCTTCTTTTATCATTCAAGATACTTTGGTTAAGTATGAAATGTTTGTCTAAGGAAGAAGGGGCACGTGCCCCATAGATCCGTCGTTGCAATTTGTGTGCTGATAAAACTAATTTTTCAATAGAAATTACCATTTTAGCTTAAAGTTCAAAAAATATTATAATTTAGTTCTAAGCTTAGATGAAACTAGAAGAAGCTTAACCTCCAAAATTTAAAAAAACATTAATATAAATTTCCATTATCATGTAAAAAAACCCAGCACAAAAGAGTCGCGGAATAGTGGTGACGTGGTATAGTTGGATCAAGTATAATGATATCTGACAGTGATTAAAATCACTATAAAAAAAAACGCTTCGATACAAATTTTTAGATAGTGTTTAATTTTAAAAAATTATTATTCCAAAAGCTACATGATCTGCTATTTTCTTATTAATATTCTGATTAAGATAAATTATATCGAATGAAAAAAGGGTATAAATATTATTTCTCATAACGAAATTGTGTTGATCCATAGACTTTTCAATAAGTTATAGCATTATAAAGTTAAAAATGTATAAAATAAAATCGAGAATTTTCACACAAAAATAGGATTTGGTAGCCACTTTCACCATGAAGACAAAATAAAGTCCGAAATTTTTTTTTCCATAATAAAGTAGATTACATTAGCTTTAATTTAAGATATACATAAAAGTGTCAAACTTTCCGGATCACTTTCAAAAGTTAAGTCGAAAAAGTTAATTTTTTGTGGAAAAATTGTCATTTTAAATCCCCTCTGTGGGGACGTAAAGGGTCAAATTTATAAAAAAATATACCAATTGATAAGTAAAAACATCAAGCATCTTAAATAAAAAAATTATATTGATTTGTTCATTTTTAAAAAAGTTATGGCAGTTTTAAGGAAAAAAATTGAAAAAATGTCGAAAATTAGCGATTTTTAAATTTGTAATTTTTTTGGAGGTTTTCCCCATTTACAGAGAACGAGGGAAATTTTTTCAATTTTTGACGGTAATGCCTTTTATCAACATACATAATTAACTAATTTTATTTATTAAAGTTTTTAATACACGATATCGTAAAAATTAATTTTATTTTTTTCTAATTGACTTTAAAACTAACAAGTTGATTTTGCTGAATTTACAAACTCTTATTCCATACTATATGATGGGTTGCATTATTTTTCTTTTGAAGATTAACCATAGAAATACATTTATAATAATAAATAATAAATACAATGTATATTTCATTACGTACTGAAAAAAATAATGCAACCCAAATTACACTGTTTACAAATAATTTTACCGATGACATATAAATTCAATTATACTTATTTTTAATCATTTAATAATTTTAAAAGCCGAATGAATGATATTTAAATAAATTATTACTACATACTATGATTTTTAAGTGCTATTTTATTACACTATACGTTTTAAATTTTTTGTATGCCATAGAAATAACATTATTTTTTTTGTAAATAAAATATGAATTACGGACTCTTTTATTTAAATATAATACTAGAAAATGTTTCTTATCCGTATAAGTTCCACGTAATTAATACTATGTGGTAACTATTACATACTACAATAAGTATTAGATAGCATATAAAAAGTTGAACAATGCAACGTATTTCCGCTAAAATATTATGACCCGTGTCGGATCTATAGGCTGTTTCCGTCCTAAAATTGAGCGAGTCCTTAAAACAACACTTTACTGAATAACGTATGTTTATATAAGATTTGAATGGTACTTGACTTTTGGAAGAATAAAATTCTAGAAAAAAGTGCAATTTTTTTACGTATTAATCTTATTAATGAGGTAAAATATGTTCAGATTCGCAGAAAAAAATATATTCGACAATTTTTTTTATGTTAAATAAATGAGTTATTTTTGTTACTAGAACAAAATATTTATTTGTCGACAGTATATTAACAATAAATTTGTTGATTACTAAAGTTTTTTCAATGTTACTTGTTAATAAAAAATCAACTCTCCGTAAATCCTGAATATGGTAATTTCAAAAGGGGTCATTTTTATGTTAAAAAATCCAGCACAGTGGGGTCACGGAACAGTTGGGACGAGTATAAAATATCTTATAGTGATTTACATCACTATCATAAACAACGCTTCGATGCCAATCTATTAAATTCACAATAATTTTTATAAATTTAATTTTAAAATTACATTGATTCAAAATTTCATTCATATATTACATTACATGACTTATCACATAATATGCATTGGAAATTGTTTGTAATCATATAACCTAAACACACAATTACTATTCTGCACATAAAGAGTAAAAATCCCATTATAGGACTTCATCGAAAATAATGTAATTTTTTGACGGATGATTTCTCATAATACAACAATTGTGAAGAATTTTTTTTAATATTTTAATGCAATTCAATAGCTTTAATTTGATGTAGAATAAAATAGGGCAGACATTCCGAAAAATTTTTTTAAAAACGAAGTAAAAAAAACTTTTTGTACATGCATGGATGATATCTTTCAAACCTGTTCAGTCCCAGATTTTTCCTTGAATTTTGATAAAAAGCATATTAAAAAAAAATTTTACTGTCTTTTTCAATTAAAATCTGTGTAAAATTTTTATTTAGATAAATTTTTTTTAAAGTTACAGAAATTTTAAAATGTAGAAAAATTGTTTTTTACAATACCGTAATTTTGAGGTGTTTTTCTAAATTTCTTAAAATTAGGGTTTTTTTCGATTTTTGATGATATATTCAGCTAGATTAAAATCAGTTTTTTTTTAACGTAACGTTTATTGAAATCAGTCTATTGATAGCTGAGAATTTTCATGGAGAGACATTAAGGAAAACACACATCATTATAAAACAAGTATCTTCTTAACTTCGCATTAATGCTAAAATAATCTACAAGTTTTTACAAATTGTTATTTGCTTTGAAAAAAATTTGTGTATCGATGTTTTTACCGATTTTTATGATGAATTACTTACATATTTCTCTCAGATAAAAGGGCATCGTTTTTTTTTTAATCATTTTAAACATATAGATACTTTAAAATTTTAAATATAAAAACGTGTAGATAATGTATTAAAAAATGATTGTTGTATAATAATAAAATAAATATTTTCTTTCGTTAATAATGTTATAAAAATTTAAGGTAACTTAAGAGCTTTATTATTTCATTATATTAGTTTTTAATATAGAAATCAATAACTCTGAGTTAGATGACTACTTTTAGCTTCGATGCAAAGCTGAGAAGGTATTGGTTTTACTATGATGTGTTTTTTTTTTTTTTGTGTCTGTTACCACTTTTTCTCAGCTCTCACCGAACAGATTTCTTTCAACGATACGTCAAAAGATCACAAATCGTATCTAGTCGAAGACATTACCCTTCAAAATTGAAAAAATTTCCCTTGTTCCCCGTAAATGGGGGAAACCTCCAAAAAAATTACAAATTTAAAAATCGCTAATTTTCGAAATTTTTTCAATTTTTTTTACTAAAAACTGTCATAACTTTTTCAAAAATGAACATATGAATATAATTTTTTTTTTTTTATAGATGCTTGATATCTTTACCTATCATTTGGTATATTTTTTCTGTAAATTTGACCTTTTTTCTGCCCACAGGGGGGAATTTAAAATGACAACTTTTTCACAACAAATTTACTTTTTCAACATAACTTTTGAAAATGTTCCGGAAGGTCTGACACTTTTATATATATCTTAAATTAAAGCTAATGTAATGTACTTTAATTTGAAAAAAAAAAATTTGACCTCTGGACTTGTCTTCACGGCGAAAATGGCTACCGAATGCTATTTTCGTGTGAAAATTCTCGATTTTATTATTTATATTATATTTAACTTTATAATGCTATAACTTATTGAAAAGTTTATGGATCCACACAATTTTTTTATGAGAAATAATATTTTTTAATAAACCCTTTTCCATTCGACATACTTTATCTTAATCGAGATATTAATAAGGAACCAGCAGATCAAGTAGCTTTTGGAATAAAACACCAATTTTTTTAAAATTAAACACTATCTAAAGATTTGCATCGAAGCGTTTATTTTTGATAGTGATTTTAATCACTGTTAGATATCATTATACTTGATCCAACTATTTTTTAGCTTAATTAATTTGTCTATAAATCAAATATAGCTTAATAGCTGTATAATGAATTGCCTATACCACTTCAACACGGGCTTCTTCGGATAAAATGTCATTTTACAATTTACTTGAACGGCACTGTACTGGAAAAGGCGTGGTCGTCAGTTGTGTTGGGCGCACGGGTAAAACAAGCGCACATGTTCTATTAAGAATGGACGTTCTATGACTAACAACTGTAGAAGAAGTGGATCTCGCGAGACCAGGTTTCCGAGTCATCCGAGCACAGGAATTCGTGTGAGAGTGTATTTTGTTTTCAAACTACTTCAAGTTTTTCTCCTGATCGTCACAACTTAGAGTCAGCCTATGCTTGGCCATGTTGCCCGCACGCACTATACACTCCACTCATTACCCATTGGCATACACTGGAACGTCAGCAGAGTACAATATTTTATTACTGGCGAACACCGTGTTCAGTGCACGTTCACACGCATGAGCAACATGAGTGTCGCTGTTACAGTATTGCGTACGAAGTCGCCTTCGTAGCGAAATCTCATTAATAAATTATAATTTCAATAAATAATTATCTGTTTTTCTTTAATCATTCTTTAACCGCGTCTCAAATATTACAACCCTCCGACATGGTGTTTTTTGGTAGAAGCAAATCGGATCGCCGCGAATTGCTGGCCAGCATGGATCAAATTTCGTTACAGAAAGTACACGATAATGGTTAGTACAAGTTCATCTATGAATCTGCTCTTAAAAATTCGTCAATCACGCTTTTCTATTAAAATAATTAAATGCAAGACTGAATAACTGTCCAATTGTCATCAGATACATTAAAAAGTTTATTGAACGATGAATATATGACGCTTGACCCACTCTCAGTCGTACATTATTGACATTTTTAACAACCTTTCTTAAAGTAATCTATTGAGGTGACATAATTATTATACAAGGCTGTTGTGACAATTAATAAACAATTTTAGAGGGGAAGTAATAACTTTTTTTTTTCTGCTCCCCAAAATTATTTTCTTTGAATCCATTTAAATAAACTTAAATGGGGGAAAAAAATTATCATCATGACCAAAAATTATATGTTGATTAGGGAGTTACAACCCCCTAATCTTCCCTGGTCGTGCCACTTATTTATGTCTCTTGTAAGAATATTATTTTATTGTAACATTATTTTTACTTCTATAGCATAGATCCAATTTGAACAAAATCTCTTCATTTCTTTCTTTCATAATTATTGGGAATTTGTAATAGAATTAGGGAGTGCTGAGCTCCTTCTAGACCCCCAAAATTTCACTTATGTTTATAACTAGTGATTTAATAGGAGGATGACACATGTTTACTACTAATAATTAATTATAATAGTCCCTTTTTTTTTATTAAAATATTCAATATTATACGCTTTTGTTAAAAAATTATACAGAAATGTAAGTTCCCATTATTATCTTACAACAATTTTAATCTTGTGGTATATCATTCTTCTTAAGTATATTTTTTTATGGCTGATGGTATGAAATCGTCTTATCTGTCTGGAACTAACTTTTTACCAATTAATCTGAACATTTTGAACTATTATTATTATTTATTTATTTATTTTATGAAAGTATAATATAACAAAATCGTTAAAATGGGTTCAACTTAAACAATTCTAAATTGTTTTTTTATACAACTGATATATTATACATAAATGTTTTTTAATTATTTTCTTATGTAATCTTTTATAAGTTATTTAAAAATTGTTCATTTTATCGTCCATAGAATTGAATTTTGTTGGATAGATTCGATATCCATATATTTTTTATTATGCATTATAACTACTCAAAGTGTGGAAGTATGGGATGAAGACATTTGTGATTTTATGTGTTCTTATTCAATAGAGGTGCTAATTTTAAGTTATATCACTGTTTATTTAATTTAAATTTAATGAAGCACAGTTCTAGGAAATATTTTTAAATGAGGACATTTTAGAAATAAAAAATTTAATTATTGTAAAAAAATAGTGGCAGATATGCTTTTTCAATATATTTTAGAAACAATTTTCTAAAAAAATATTTTGAACTTAATCTTCTTTTACAGACATTTTAATATTTTATATAAGTAATATAAGAAAAACAAGAAATTCAGCTCACTCAAAAATATTTTACTATTTACGTCTATATGTCAAGTTATTAAATACTTGAATTATGCTTTATGGTCGAATCCAAGTAGTTGGGATTAAGGCGAGGAAAAAGAAGAATGAATTATGCTTTTTAACTTTGATCCATAACGTTCATTTTGTATAGTTTTATACCATACAACTGTAGTGCAAATAATAACGTTTCAAGTTTTTTAAAGTACACTTAAAATTGAATATTCCCACGAATTATTGCAAATCGAAAAAATAATTATCAAATATTACATAAATTTGTAGTAATATAGTTAATCACATCGTAGTTTGAAAATATTACGATTTAGTAATATGAATGAGTCTTGAAGCATCTGATTATTTTTATTTTTAAAGGAACAATAAAATTACTTTTAAATTGCTTTAATAAATTAAATAAAATTACTTTAATTAATACAAATTTAAGAGCTAGACATTTTTTTAAATGAAATTTTATATAAATTTATGGTTTACTTTAAAATATACTTTTTAAACACCCACACGGTTCTCTTTCTTTTCTAATTTATGGTATATTTTTCCAAAATAAAATAAATGTATTGTTTCAGAAACAAAAACTTTATAAAAAAAATTAGTTTAATGAATTTTATTTTACGGATGTTTCACAAATATTTAATCTGTTATATTATTATAAAATATTTCAGTAATATCACGGTTGTTGGATTTAGAAAATGCTTTTATTCATATGAAACGCGTTTTGTATTCTGCATTTTAAGAGTGTTAGATTCAAAGTATCATACAAGATAATGTATATGATATGATATAAGATATGTGATAAGATTTTTCTACAAATTTAGTTACTACACTATTAATATTTATTTCAATTTATTTATTTTTAATCACGCGGAATTAATTCTGTAAGGTGAAACTATAATGAAATTAAGGGGATTATATATACCTCAAGTTGAAAGCAATAATACGATCAAACTAAATTTTTTATTTTAAGATTATAGGAAAAATTTCTCTTTCGTTTGCCCCATTTATAAAGACAAAATTCAAATTAATTTTATTTTAAACGGATTGATATAATTTTTATTTTTAAATACCCGTAATATTATGTGAATTGATTCATTATTTTTTTTTTTACATTTTTAGCTGCTTTTCAGTATGTTCGAGACAATATTGATGAAATTAATCGTCATGTTGAAGCTAAAGAGACTGATATAATTTTTCTCAAAACTTTAATGGGCAATCCAACTATGGAATCTATTGTTAAAGTAAGACAGCAATATATTATTTTTATACAATGTTGGATCTTGAATATAATTGTACTTCCCCAAAATAGGGACAGATATAGTAAGTGTTTACAAAATGATCAATGGAGAGTAAAATAATATATTGCAATTTCACATATAATAAATAAATTAGTATATGTGCTACAGAGTTAGCCGTTTTATCATCTTAAAAGTTTCAATCACTTAAAATAAATTAATGAGACTAAATATGAGAGATTTGTATATTTTATACGTGATATTTTACCGTTGTTCTTTGGCATTTTTTTATATTAAAGTATAAATAATTATTTTAGTTAGTTGATTAATGTTAAAAAATACCAAGTGGCATATTTAAAATATGTGCACAGGGGCACATGTTTACCCCATTGACTGAGTCATGTAAATATTTTATCAAGCAATATAATAATATATAATATCATTTGAAAAAGTAATTTTTTGATTATCGATAATATGAAATGTTAGTCAATATAGTTGTCTAGTGGAGTAAAATTTGACGCCCGCACAGTTGTCTCGTTATTGTTATCACCTATTTTTGAAGTGTTTATTACGTAGAGATACAACTGCATAAAAAGAAATATTTTTATTAATCAAAATGGATTCAAAACAAATAACAGATTTTTTTTTAAAAAAATCTAAAATATGTGTTTTATGTGTTAACAAAAGTTATGAGCAAAAAAAAAAGTTATTTTATGGTACCTTATTCATGATCATTTGTTGTGCCCCCTCCATTATAAATATCTAAATACGCCACTGAAAATACCTACAGTATCAGTTAAATATTTAAAATAATGAAACCCTTTTTTAACTATAATGAATAAACGTTAAACCTTTGACAATGCGTGAGCGGAAATGAGACAATTTTTTTTTATATCTATATATTGTGGACTACCGTGTAAATAGAGTTTTTACTCTATTTATATGATTAATAGTAATACATTATATTTATTAAATGTATAAAACTGCAACTAAATTAATAACTTTTTTTATTTAAATTTAATAATGGATTTAACATTTTAAAAACTCTAACTTTTGAAATACGGGCGATATATAAGAGATGGTGACCAATAAAATAAGTAATAACATTTAGAAGACAAGAAAATTCGTATATTTTTGTCTGATTCCTGTGTATTTGAAAAACATATTTTTAACTAATAATAATTAAGTTTTCTTAAATTTAACTGACAATATTTATAAGTTATGAAAAAATTATCATTTTTTTGAAAATTTTTTTTTAATTATGCCTTCTTAGACTACGTTTAAAGCATTTTTTTTTCAAAATATCCATTTTTTATTTCTTTTCTTACAAAAACTTTCAATAGGTCGATAATAATCCTAGTACAAATACTCATTGAGTGAGAATGGCAACAGCTTGTACTGATGTACGTATACTCTGCCTGCGTTCTATGCTAACTCTATTAAAATGTTTGTAATTCGATGAGTACTTGACCTAAAATTGTTATCTACTAATCAACATTTCTTGTAATAAAAGAGCTTCACAATTTTATTTTTTCAAATAATCAAAAACATAATTTGTTGGTAACGCAAAATTAAAAAAATCACAAATCTTTGGGGAGGGGGTATGATCCCCTCTATTTTCGTCTAAAAAATTAGGTAAAAAATATGAAAAACTTTGATAATGACATTTTTTGTTTTGACTTATCATTATTGACCTAATGTTATGATATATTTAAATTTATTTCCTAATTAAACGATTTTCTTAACCGCTTTCCCTATCACTTTATACGGGTCTAGCATTTCTGATTTTCCTTTGAATATCTTACATAAAGTAACATGTTATTAAATTATTTTTAAAATATTCTTATAAACTTTGTTAATAAAATCAATTTTTTAATCAGTAAATTTTTTAATAATAATTGATTCATATTGAATCATATTTATTCTTTAAAAATGGCTATTAAAATGTTACTTTATCTAACATTGGTGTAATTGTGTGTTAATTTTTTAATAGATAAAGTAAAGTGTTATTTAATATATTACAATCAATTTTCTATTTGACGTTTTTTTTTTTCAGTTTCAGTACCAATTAATACCAATTGTTCTATTCCTTTTGAAATCTAAGTTCATTTGGATTTAATATAATGTGTGAAAATAATTACTAAAATGTTTAGTTCTTTTATAATCAATATATGTCAAATTTCTATTTAAATTTAACAGTTATTACATGTTATTCTGACATTGTCATAATAGAGAACATAGAGAAGAACTCTAAGAGAAAATTACTTTCCATTTTCTATTATTATTTTTCAAATAACCGAAGAGTTATTAATTATGTTTACTGAATTATAAACTTTGACTATTACTGTTAAGTATTTATTTTAGTGTACGATTTTTTTTGGGAATTTTTTATCAGTTTAATGACGATACGTCTAAAAGCAAATGTATTCAAGAAGCTTCTTTAATAAAAAATGATCTTCTACTTTTGTTTAAGCTCAACAATTTTGACTCCATATATCTTAATGACAGTATGATTTTTAAAAGCAAAGTTTAATCGCAATTATAATCACTAAATTATGGAAAATAGGTATATGTTAATGGAACGTTTGCAAAATGTTTTAAATTATATTACATTTTATACTTAAAGGTTTAAGTTGGTTATTGACGTTTATGAGTTAATTGGTATATCAGTTTTCTTCATAATTTATAAAACTGTTATGTACTGTATTGTGTTGTTGTAAATAGACATCAATGAATTACTGCACATTAGTATTTCTAATTTTTTCATATTGTATAGATAGAAGATAATTAAGTATATTGATTATATAGAATAATCCGTTTAACATATTCTACTTGATTACTTAAAAAACTTTTATCCTTTTTTAGTTATACATTTTTTATGATTTATCAATTATTAATTATTTTTTCGGTTCATCCCTTATATCTTATAAGGGTATCTATTTTATTTTTTTAATTAATGAAACATTTTTTTTTTTTTTGAAATATGATATTTAAAATTATTTTATAATTCTTCATAATATATTAGTTGTATTGTTCAATAAGGCTCTTCTTATTTGTATGAATATAAGTCGAAGTAAGTTTAATTCATAATTAATTATATTCAGTTTTTATTATTAATGTTTAATACTAATTCTAGTAATTAGGTAATTTTATTTCCATGTGATTCCATGTAGAATTTTAACCACGTAAAATTTACTTGGGGATTATGGAAATTGAAACAATACTACAGTTGTATTAAAGTGTCAGTTAATATTATGAAGTATAAAAATAAATATTTATGAATTTTAGTATACATTTTTTCAACCAAATTAGAAAAGAAAAAAAAATTTATATATTAGAGCCAAAATATTGGTTTTGACTCAATTTAACACTACCCTTATTTTTATTTAATTTATAATCTAGAAAATATTTTTCCATGTAGATAGAAAAATTAACTTCTAATGAAGTGTTAATTCTTCAACTTAACACACTTTTAACAAAATGCATTATTTTTTCAATATATTTGGGCCTTAAAAAATAAGCAGAATTATTTATTTATATTTATTTAGAAATTTAAATTATACGGTATTGAATACTTTTTTGTTCTTGTAGTTACTCTATTCTTGTAGTACTCGAATAGTTAATATCAATGAGTTTTCTTATACTATCAAACATCAATAAAAATACATTTTTTGAGTGATATACTAAAAATAATTTTCCTTGAAGTTATACCACAAGTAACCTGATAAAATGTATTAAAAATAACAGAAATAAGACTTGTATAAACATAATAACACAAATACAAATTGTGCACCTTTTCTATTACCAAATTAATATATTAATAAAACTGAACCAACACCTTATGAATGATATTAAAATTTTAGTTATTAAAATAAATATAACATTACATTACAATTAATAGGTTTTAAAATCTACAATTTTTTTTTTTTTATAAGAGAATAAAATAAAATATTTTGCATTACTCAAAAAATAAAATATCAAATTGAAATAAGTTTCTTTGAGTAGAAATATTTTCAGTTTTATCATTCATAAGTGAATAATATAATTTATAATGACATAAAAAGAATTCTATTACCGAGAATGAAGCGTCTAATAATCGGGCGATTTTTAACGAATGAAAAACGTGAAATATTTTTAATTTCCATTCTCAGTTATTACATTGTATATCGTACATTGCACAAGTACCTAAAACGAAATTTAGAATAAGGAAAATTATTAGAGTATAATAAGGTGATCACCCTCATTTCGACATATTGCTTAAATACCGGCTGTCAATTACTTTTATCGTTACAAGTGAAAGACTTGTTAATTACATTGTTTGAAATGGACAAATTTTAATATTAATGGCGATAGTCACTTAATTTTTAGAATAGTAAGAAAGAATGATATATGTTAACACGTACCAAAAATAAATTCAAACTAAAACTTAATATAATTTTTAAAAAAATAAAGTAAAAAAATCATTGACATAGATCAATTTAGTTTTTTATTTGTCATCTAAACTAACGAGGAATACGTTTATATATTGAATATATCACTAACTTAACAGCTGTCGTTTCTTAACAATACACAAGTGCATTGTTGTCATAAGGAAATATGTAACCTAATACTATACTTAGAGGTATTCTTGATACGTAAGATAGTAATTTATCTTTTCCAATATACACAAGAAAAATTTTTTATTTAACATAATACAGGAACATTTACGTAATCACAAGAGAGTCATGAAATCCCCCTTCCACTGACACAAAATTATAGCAGTGAGGTATAGTAAATGGGTAAAGCTCCCGTATAATTTTCATAATTTCACATTTTGAAAGTTTTACGGACCCTTCCTATAGTAAATTTCTAAGTCGCTAAGGGATCTTGAGACTCCAATTCCAGCTTTGACTACACCCCTAAAATAGTATAATAGTTCTTGAAATTGAATTGTATTTTTAATAAAAAATAAATTGTAAATTAATGTATATTGTTATTCGTTACATAAGTGACAGGGTTTAGATAAAATGGTTAAATATTTTTACTATACTTTGGAATTTTAACTTCACAATAAACATTAATTGTATTTCAAATGACAAACTATTTTGGGTATTTTAAAAGGTGCAACAATTAAGAAATACTACTAATACTAATACTGCATAACTATAAAATAAGTTTTATCGTTATTAATTAGTAAATGCCAAATATGTAAACATCAGTATTCGGACGCGAATTTGGGGTACATTTATGAAAATCTACTCCTACTATCATTACCCGTCAACGTAGAATTTATCAAAACATTATAATTTTATATAAAAAAAATTAATTAATACGTTTATTAATAGAAATTAGATTATTTAAGACATTTAATTTATCAGATAAATACATATAATGTAGAGGAATTTGGTATGAATACTTAAACCTTTGATTTCTTATACAACAATTACAGTTCATAAAATAAAATCTTTGTAGATGTAAGGTTTAGTGGGATCATTGAGCCTATAGATAATAAACCCTAGTGGTGTTTTGAGGTCAACTATGAACATGATGACAATAAAAGAAACTTACAAAAACCTGAAGACAAAAACCAAAATATTCTTTGAGGCTATAGTCTATTGCATAGTTACTGTATAATGAAAATCCCGCCGCCGGTTGTCCTTGTCGTTGCAACGAACAGGAAAACAATTTATGAATGTGTTAATGCAAACAACTAGAAAAAATTCAAAATTAATATTCGTACAATTGATTTATATTTGGTACAGATATTTTTAATGTTAATTATTTAGTCAAGAATAAATTGCACAGTATTTGAATTTCAGATCTTAAAACATCTCAATTGCAGCAAATCTAAAAGATTTGCTTTTATTTCGAAATTTTGAGGAAGTTAAATCGTCGTTAAAATTTAGCTCGTTAATTTGAATGAAAGTCGAATTTTCTTATCAAGACAACGAGGATATTTGTTTAGTTGTTAAAAGGCATTTACTGGTAGTGAATACAGTGTGTATTAACACAGGTCGTTTTGCTGCGTACAGTGACAAGATATTTTCCTGTCACAGTGCCAATTAGTAGTACTATACAGGTACGAGTTTCTAATGAAAATGTTCATTAAGAACACAAGAGTATTCATATACACGTTTTGAAAAGGTCAAAAATCCGGACAGGTTCTTCTGTACCGTCCGCACGTTGAGAATCCTTAAAAATCCGTTAACCACCTGTGTCTGTCTGTTGACGACCACAGCCCCTTCTCTGTACAGGTACACGAGCGTCTACCTAAATGATATACCAACAGTAACGATATTGCAATACGTCGTCTCCCACCTACAGAAGTGTTATGCTCCTACTCTTCGTTGTATTCAGTAAAACAAGTGACACGTCTAGTCGGTTGTTAGTGTTCAAACATATTGTAGTAAAGTGTTTGGGAAGTGTGGTGACCACGTCGCTTGTTGAACGATTTCGTTGCAAATTACCCGCGTTTTACGATTTTTCGGTTTTGTAACGTTTTACAATAAATAAACAGTTCACGACGATGAATACTCACACGGCTTACTAACAGATAACTTAAAAACATCTTGACGCCAACGCACAAAGTATTTACGTCCTGCGCGGCCGAAAAGGAATTCCTCAACGACAAGGTACAGTGAGTCATTTTTTCATCACATTTCACCAACTTTTCATGACTTCCTATGATTTTTTGAAACAATTTCTGTAATTTTTTTTTTTTTTGAGGAAGTGTTGAATTTTTTTGTTAGATGATCATTTTTGGACGTTACCGAGTTTGTGAGCAGCTCAGGTTTTAACGAGATAGTATTGTTATTGTTTTGGTTTCTAAACTCATAACAAAGATCTTAGTTGTTCTGAACGGGCGTGGTTTGTTATTGTTGTTGCCTATAGAGTATTTAGAAAAATTAAAAAAATATTGTACGCTTTCCGCGTCTAATTTAACGTCCTTCGGTATATTTGGAAATTTTGTTTGTTTTTTTTAGTTATTGGTTCCGTTAAAATCAAATTAGAAACGCTCCTTTTATATGCTAAAAAAGATCCTTTAATAATATTTTTTAGGAGATTTAATCTAAAAGAGGTGTCTAAAATTCCACATGAATTTCAAATTTAAAATCATTCCGATTGTATAGGATTTCCATAGTAATATTGTTCATTTCTCGATGTATAGATTCCCCTATACGAGCCCAATAATATCACTTGTGTCTCAATATATCTTAATGATAATATATAATTATTCTTTTAAATTTATTATTATTATTTAGAAATATTCATTTTTTAATTTTATATAAAATTCATAATTTGTTTAATTTTACGAAAAAAATTAATGAGTTGTTATTAATTGTTTGTATCTATTTTAACGGCGCACGCGAAAACATTTTTTTGGTGAAACGTTAGGATGTTCCTGAAAACATTTTTGTCGAACGGTCCTTGTCCAGAAAAGGGGTCGAGGTCAAACGGCGTCAATTGTTTTTAATTGTAATATACTTTTGTGTAATCAATAGTCCAGTTGCGTTTTGTTTATTTATCGTATAAAACGAAATTCCTGTCTCTAAAGGAGACGCGGATACAATGGCGGTATGGAGCAATGCCGCTCCCTCCAATTACAATTATTTTCTAAAAAAGGTCCTCATTTTGAATAATGGTTTTTCAAATTTCTTCTGGGTTCGCGCCTTCCTAAACTACATAAATCGAATACGTGAATATTTATTTATTTATTGTTCATATTATGCAAAATCATTTCGGAAGAAACATAAATGTGCGTATTGTGAAACTTTTTACAAATCATTTTAAATTATGTTTACTTAATATTTTTTGAATTTTGAAAAACACAATAAGGAATTCATTAGTTACGTGAACCTATATTATTTTGTAAATATTTAGAAATTGTAAAATGCATCTTATGTTATATCCTGAATAATATTTTAGAAATAATATTTTGTTAACCGAATTATTATTTAAAAATGTATTAATTGCTTGAAAATGCCTGTTACTATTAATGACAATTAAGTATGGATAAAAATAAAAATCGATTGTTGACTTACCGGTCAGAGTTCCGTTAGCGACTGTTACATTATATTTATTATTTTGATTCTTTCCTAACAACCTTTAAAAGGGGATCGAACTTTGATTTAGAAACCCCAGTTCACCACAAGAGTTGGTAGAAATGTTTGATTACTTATCGTTGTCAATAGCTACCAATAATATTTAATGTATTGTTTGTAAGCTACGGCCGTATGAGTCTTGTTGCTGCATGACTATGATATGATCGCGTGTTATTTCAGAACAATTCACCATTGTTATAAAAACATTATTTTAGCCGTGTATTCTTTATTCACTCTATATATTCACAGACGTTTCCGATTATTTTTCTCACAAAAATTTTAGTTATTCATGAATTATTGTAAATTTCCATTGTGTTATAAATAATTTAAAAATCGTTATGTCCGCATTAAACGTCAACGTCATAACACGATTTGTTTTTAAGGTTCAAAATTGTTTAGAAGAGTGTCAAACTTGTGAACCTGTAGCTAGTAATTCGAAGCAAACTTTAAACGAAGTGTGCCATCAATGCAAGTTGTCCAAACACCCAATTGCTAAAGATTTACTCTCAATTTTTACTAAATTACATTTTAGGGTAAGCTTAGAGCTGACGATTGAAGTTTTATTTATTTCGAACAAATATTTTATTTCAACACATGACATTTACTTTTATAGGAACTTTTAAAAATACATGATAAAGTAGCCATTAAAAGATTCAAAAGATCATTAGAAAGACCTGATTTACCACCAACGCCACCTACACCACCTCTACACAAAAACGGAACTAAGATGTCTTCTCAATACAAAGTAATTGGATTACGTAAAAAACCAGATGAACCTTTGGTAAAATAGTTTCTAGACTTATAAAATATACTCAATAAAAATTGTGAGTTTAAAATATATTTGTTAATGTTTAAAATTTTAGGGCTTAACAGTAGAACAAGATGAGAATGGTAACCTCATTGTGGCTAGAATTTTATCTGGAGGAGCAATTGAGAGACAGGGACTACTCAAGAAAGGAGATGTTATATTAGAAATTAATGGTGAAAGGGTTGATAGTCCAGAAGATTTAATGAATGAAGTTAGTCGAAGTAAAGACACATTACAAATAAGAATTGCTCCAGGATTTTATCACAAAAATACAGCTAAAACCCAACAAGTAATTCAATTAAACCATTATGATTTCATTATGTTTTATTTAGCTTATAATGGATAAATAATTATTCAATTCAACAGTGTTACATGAGAGCACTTTTTGACTATGATCCTAATGAAGATAATCTTATTCCGTGTAAAGAAATAGGCTTGCCATTCAAGCATGGCGATATTCTTCAGGTAAATTCTTAAAATATATTTTATTTTTTCTATATATTACTATTTTTAGAATTTATTTTTAACAATAAACTTTTTTAGATTTAATTTTTTTGCTTGTTTTAGGTATTAGACCAGAAAGATCCCAATTGGTGGCAAGCAACAAAAGTTGGCAAGAATGAGCTACCAAGATTGATCCCTTCTCAAGAACTTGAAGAAAGAAGAAAAGCTTTTGTTCCCCCTGAAGCTGATTATGTTCATAAAATTAGTATATGTGGAACTAGGGTAAATTTAATTTCAAAAGCTTTCACTGTAAATGGTGCAATAAATCCTTTTTTGTGTATTAGTGTTTCAACTTATTATTTTTTAATAATGACAATTTTTTAATTTTTTCTAAAATAATTTTATTAAAAAAATTAAATAGTTAATCATTAGATTGATGTCTATAATTAGATTAATTAACTTTCTGTTTAATTATAAATTTATTTTTTTTCCAAAATTAATGTTCATTTCCTCTTTTATTTATTGTTATCAAATCTAATAAATTAAATATTTATTTATATTTTTTTAGATTTCAAAAAAGAAGTGTAAAAAAATGTATCAATCAAAATGGAATGGTGAATTTGACAAGGCAGAATTAATATTATATGAAGAAGTAACAAAAATGCCTCCTTTCAAAAGACGCACTCTAGCATTAATTGGTACTACAGGAGTAGGCAGAAGAACTTTAAAAAATCGTTTGATAAATAGTGATCCCAACAAGTTTGCTGGAGTTGTTCCATGTTAGTTTAAACTGATAATTATTAGTTCATTAAAAAAGCAAAAAAAAAAAAAAACCCAGCACAGGGGGGTCGCGGCACAGTGGTGACGTGGCATAGTTGGATCAAGTATAATGATATCTGACAGTGATTAAAATCACTATCAAAAAAAAACGCTTCGATGCAAATCTTTAGATAGTGTTTAATTTTAAAAAATTGGTGGATTATTCCAAAAGCTTCATAAACTGCTAGTTCCTTATTAATATCCTGATTAAGA